AAAAAGGAATTGTTATTCTAATTATTCTAATTATAATTTATTCATAATTCTCAATTAGAATTGTTTGTAAAATACTTTCAAATAAAAAAAAAACTATACTTCAACCTATCGCTTCTCCGTAACCGGCGACGTAAGAAATTCAGAGGAAACAGCTGGTAAAAATTATTGAGAAAAACGTGTTTTATAATCACGGGGAATCGCAGTCGCGTGATATCTTGGCCGTGTTTACCCCGACACAATGTAGCCTCGTAGAAGCTAAAAATACTACTTCAATGATGCTGCTTTCTATGAACCTTTCCTTTCACCTCGATACGATACACCCTGTACACGTTCCTTTTGCGACAAATAACGTGTTCGATTTGCTCGTCGCATTTGCAACGTCTTTCTGTCGACGGAATAAAGCTTTCACCCTGGACTTCGCCTTCCTTTGATACGCCGCATAAAACACATCAGAAGATCGCACCGCTGCGACGGAATCGCGACAGCACGTTAAAGTTGCAACGTCGGCTTTTAGACGCAAGCGATATTGTTAACAATTAACAAGAAATTCCGCTCGCGCTTCTCTTTCCCTTTCAACGAAATATTTTACGCTATCGTCGATTGATTTTCTTAGTCACTTGTCTATTGGGCTAGCAACCAAGTGATTGCGGATTTCGTCATTACCACCTAATGGCGAAAGCCGCAGTCACATAGTTGCCAACAGTACAGTCGTATAATATTAGGTCGTCCGGAAAGTTTCTTTCGTTTCGTAAGGTGATAATAGACGAACAATAATTTCTGTTTTATATTATTTCATCGAATTGTGATCCACTTCGCTGTATTTCTGTTATTATGTGCATAAAACAAAAGAGCATTGTGCGTCTGTTATTTCCTTACAAAACGAAAGAAACTTTCCGGACAACCTAATGGCAGTCATCCACGTGTACACTTCGTGTCATAGTCATAAATACGATCGTGTGAAAAGTATTATAAAATGCAAGGGAGGCTCGATCGACTGTTATTTGTTGATACGTTAATTCTATTTTTAATATAATTTGTAAAATGACATTTTTGTTTTATCGACGCGTTATTTTGCGATAAAGTTTATTGCCAGTTTGGAAGCTTCGTAATCCGAACGTAGGTTCCTGTTGGTAGGAACTTTTTGAGATTCGTATCGTAGACAAATATCAATCGTTTAAAGGCGTACGAATACTTTTGTGACTCACTGTACGTGCAGGACATCTCGAAACCGAAGATGAAATTTCATCCGACTAGTCCTTTCTCGTATTTGTTGGCAACTGTGAGCCTGCCTCCTTGTTTGTACGAATTTGTTTATACAAGTTTGTTGTACGCTCGTATCGCATTTGTTTGAAAATTTCCTATAGCCGAATCGATGGATCGAAGAGTCGTCTGCGTATAGTTTCCGGAGCTAACGCCCTTTAAAAATGGAACTGTTTGAGATTGTAAATAAATCTAAATAAATAATCTGAATATAATACAAATCTAAATAATCTAAATGATATTTTTTTAAATAAATCTAAATAAGTAATCTAAATAATATCTTTCTAAATAAATATAATATAAATATATCTAAATATAATATAAATCTAAATAAATAATGTGAATATAATACAAATCTAAATAATCTAAATGATATTTTTTTAAATAAATCTAAATAAGTAATCTAAATAATATCTTTCTAAATAAATATAATATAAATATATCTAAATATAATATAAATCTAAATAAATAATGTGAATATAATACAAATCTAAATAATCTAAATGATATTTTTTTAAATAAATCTAAATAAGTAATCTAAATAATATCTTTCTAAATAAATATAATATAAATATATCTAAATATAATATAAATCTAAATAAATAATGTGAATATAATACAAATCTAAATAATCTAAATGATATTTTTTTAAATAAATCTAAATAAGTAATCTAAATAATACCTTTCTAAATAAATATAATATAAATATATCTAAATATAATATAAATCTAAATAAATAATGTGAATATAATACAAATCTAAATAATCTAAATGATATTTTTTTAAATAAATCTAAATAAGTAATCTAAATAATACCTTTCTAAATAAATATAATATAAATATATCTAAATATAATATAAATCTAAATAAATAATGTGAATATAATACAAATCTAAATAATCTAAATATGTTTCTAAATAAATCTAAATAAATAAAGCTAAATATAATACAAATCTAAATAGTCTAAATAATATGTTTCTAAATAAATCTAAATAAATAAAGCTAAATATAATACAAATCTAAATAGTCTAAATAATATGTTTCTAAATAAATCTAAATAAATAAAGCTAAATATAATACAAATCTAAATAGTCTAAATAATATGTTTCTAAATAAATCTAAATAAATAAAGCTAAATATAATACAAATCTAAATAGTCTAAATAATATGTTTCTAAATAAATCTAAATAAATAAAGCTAAATATAATACAAATCTAAATAATCTAAATAATATGTTTCTAAATAAATCTAAATAAATAAAGCTAAATATAATACAAATCTAAATAGTCTAAATAATATGTTTCTAAATAAATCTAAATAAATAAAGCTAAATATAATACAAATCTAAGTAGTCTAAATAATATGTTTCTAAATAAATCTAAATAAATAAAGCTAAATATAATACAAATCTAAATAGTCTAAATAATATGTTTCTAAATAAATCTAAATAAATAAAGCTAAATATAATACAAATCTAAGTAGTCTAAATAGTATGTTTCTAAATAAATCTAGATAAATAAAGCTAAATATAATACAAATCTAAATAGTCTAAATAATATGTTTCTAAATAAATCTAAATAAATAATCTAAATACAATATAAATCTAAACAACCTAATTAATATTTTTATGATATTTAATTCAAGATTTTTATTGTTCGTTGGCATTAAACGTAATAAAAATTGTAGAATTTATCAAGTAAATGCGACAAATGGAAACTTCTCGTTTCACGCACAAACATAGTTTAAATCGTTCTTTTAAGATTTATTTAATTTTACTTTCTTCGCGCGGCGCGACTGGAAACACAACAATTCGCATAGCCGGAATAAATAATTTTCTGAAAATTAAACGAGCACGTTTTATCGCATAAATTGTATAACTTAACATAAATTATTCAATTAAAAATATCCCTAGAAACTATCATCGCAATGGTCCAATTTTCGGTAAAAATTGTCAAAGATAAAAATTCTTTGAAAAAAAAAAACTACCACTTAATTCTTCATTGTCTTGCTATCTGCGTTACAATGCTGACAATTTTCGTCGTTGTTCAATGGTCGTCGTTGCTTCCAAGTGCAATTATTCCACGGTCTTATCGTTGCTCGCGAAATAAAGCTGTCTGCAAATCGGAATATTGAATGCGCGAGCAAAACTTGAAATCCCTAGATTCGTTTCTGCGCGCAGCGCGTGCAGCTGCACAGCTCGCGCTATGCATGTTTTACTGGGTGTCAAATAAACGCATACAAACAGCTCTTGAAATACTCGCAACTGTACAAATAGTTACGCTCCTTGCAAGTTCGAACGTTCAATGGATTCCGGAAATGAATCTCATACAAATCGACTCGTCATTGTAGACAACGTGATTAAATTACTCTCATTGATTAACTACTCGTCTCATTGTATGCTTAACGAGTACCGCGACTATGCAAGGTATTTGCCTACCATTGTATTTGCTACAGCGTTTACGTATTAATTAATCAGGGCTGAGGATATATTAGTGTCTATATATTAAATTATATACATTGCGTATATTACATTTCTTGCACACATACTATACATGTATATATAAAATATATTAATAAATGTGTGTTTTGATATATAGTGAAATGTATGAAATATATATATATATATTAATTAATTAGGACTGTAGATACACTAATGTTTATATATTAAATTACATATATTGCATATATTAAATTTCTTGCACACATACTATTTTCTTACATGCATATTATACATTTATATGATATATCAATAAATGTGTATATTAATATATAACAAAATGTAAGAGATATATACATATTAATTAATTAGGACTGAAGATACATTAATGTACATAGATTAATTAATTAGGGCTGAAGATACATTAATGTACATATATTAATTAATTAGAACTGAAAATACAATAATGTTTATATATTAAATTAGGTACATTGTGTATATTACATTTCTTGCACGCATACTATACATGTATATATAAAATATATTAATAAATGTGTGTTTTAATATATAGTGAAATGTATGAAATATATATATATAAATTAATTAGGACTGTAGATACATTAATGTTTATATATTAAATTACATATATTGCATATATTAAATTTCTTGCATACATACTATTTTCTTACATGCATATTATACATGTATATATAAAATATATTAATAAATATGTGTTTTAATATATAGTAAAAGGTAAGAAATATATATATATTAATTAATTAGGACTGAAGATACATTAATGTACATATATTAATTAATTAGATTTGAAAATACATTAATGTTTATATATTAAATTACATATATTGCATATATTAAATTTCTTACACATATACTATTTTCTTACATGCATATTATACATGTATATATAATAAAATGTAACAAATATATATATATTAATTAATTAAGACTGAAGATACACTAATGTACATATATTAATTAATTATAACTGAAGATACATTGATATTTATATATTAAATTACATAAATTACATATATTAAATTTCTTACACATATACTATTTTCTTACATGCATATTATACACACACACACACACACACATATATATACATATATAAAATTTCGTATCATTTATTTATCACAGTTCAGGAGTTGCGAGAAAAAATAAATTAAATATATTACATCGCATTTAATTTAGACTGTTTTTCCTACGACATTCACCTTGTTCTGCGTAGTAATTCAATGTTTATATTTCGCGGTTCCAATCCTTCGTACGCCGCGTTTGGTGTCGAATATGTTTAGTGCGATACGGTCGTTCGATCTGACACGTACTACCTGCGAGCTGTCGTGCGATTGTACGAGCTCCGAGCACAACGCAATTGTACGTATTTTTCTCAATTATTAGCTTATATTAGATTTTTCTGCAAATTCCCACTTTTGAGAGTGTAATTAAACAAGAGCCTCGGTAGGAAATTGTTTTACTTGTCAAGTATTACAGGAAACATTGGATATTTTATGTACCTTTTCATAGTGCGTGTATTGTACGCAATTTTACACTTTCAAATTTCTCAAAATGTATAGAAAAACTCGCAATAGTAGGATTGTTAGACTTTTTAATAATAATAAAAAAAAAGAATGTACTTTGTGACCGTATAAATTGCACTCGGTGTTGAAATCACGTACAATTGTTTAGCCTAATCTATTTTTAGTACGCGGTAGACTGATTAACGAAGAAAAGCGGAAAATTTGAGCGTGATGCCAGTAATTTCACTATTTTGCATAAGAATAATACGAAATTCTGTGACGAAAACTGTACGATAATATAATATGCAATATTATTAATATTATTAATAATAGTAATACATTAATAATATATATATAATATATATAATAATATATATAATATATATAATATATATATAATATATATAATATAATAATATATATATAATATATAAATATATATAATATATAAATATATATAATATATATAATATAATAATATATATAATATTATTAATCATATTAATAATACTAATATTATTAATATTAATAATATTGTACATTATATTATTATATTGTATATTGTATATTATACTATTGTATAGTATCAATAATATTAATAATACTAATATATATAATATTATTAACAATATTAATAATACTAATATTATTAATATTAATAATATTGTACATTATATTATTATATTGTATATTGTATATTATACTATTGTATAGTATCAATAATATTAATAATACTAATATATATAATATTATTAACAATATTAATAATACTAATATTAATAATTTTAATAATATTGCACATTATATTATTATATTGTATATTGTATATTATATTATTGTATAGTTCTCGTCACAGACTTTCATATTATTCTTATGCAAAAAAATATTATTATTAATAATATATGTATAATAATAATATATAATATCATTAATAAAATTATATATAGTAATATAATATACAATAATAATCATTCATTTTTAAAGACTTGCATTCGACTCGATGCAACGTAAAAAGTACAGAAACCTATTTGTCATAATTTTTGAATCACGATCGCGCATTCCAGCCGTCGTATTCAACAACCAAGATATCCAAAAAATCAGCAGAATCGACGTTCGAGGCCCTTCTTTTTTTATATTTCACTAAATTATAACTATAAAAAATTTCAATTTCAACGCCGAGTACTATTTATATGCTCACGAAGTACTTCCTCTCTTTTTCTTTTTTTATTAAAAAGTCTAACAATCCTAGCATTGCGAATTTTGTATTATAATTACAATGTCACCAAAATAAAATGTACGAGATGTAAATATTAGGTCGTCCGATAAGTTTCTTTCCTTTTATAAGGAAACAATGAATGCACAACATGTTCCCTTTTATATTATTTTATCGAATTACGTATGGTCCGTTTTCATCCATTCAAACTAAAGATCACAACGTTCGACAGATCAGGTTTCACGTTTGTATGAAGATGCATCGTTGTAAAAGACGTGTCCGTAAAAGAAAGACACCCAACAGAAAATGTTGAAATTACCAGATAACTTTATACTACCAATACCATTCGCAGCCATTGTGAACGTAGCTTTAAAAGTATAAACGCCAAGTATCTTTTCAAGTCAGCGTTCACTCAGAAGCAGTTTTCAGTTTCAAGAAATTGACCGTCGTCAGAAGATCGAGAAGCCCGTGACTTGCATTTGAACTTCGTCTCGTCTGTTTCTCTCTTCGACCCGAACCACTTCATCCGAATAACATGTACAGCCAAATAGCCAGCTGCTTACCGAGAAGACCGTGTCCTGATGAATTTCACGAATCGTCCGCCGATCGAATTGATTTTCTTTCTTTTTCAAAAGTAATCGGCAATTTCCAGCAGGAATATCGGGTCAAGATTTTTTAAAGGGCGCGAAGCAATTAAATGGTCCGTGCTTAATTGATCATTCGACCGCGTTCCTCTCATCGATGGAGAATAGTAGCCAATGGCAAGTTTCTTCGATTCGCTTAAAATTTTCGTCGGATTATTCGCGACCTGTTGGGAAAAACGCGCCAAGTAAGTAATTAAGAAAGTAGCTGGAACCACTCCGAAAACTGGGCTAAATTACTCGGAAAAATTTAATTCTCTGATAATATAGGCCACGTGCATCGTTTCGCAAGGCTTGAAACTTTCTCTCTCTCTCTCTCTCTTCATCGGCTATTTCCTCCCTCGGGCTAATTTCCCATCGTTAATGGCCGCCGTTCTCTCGCGCGATTATTTTGTAAGTGGTGGCGAACATTTGGACGGACGTGTCCTTCTTTTTCGTTTTATGGGCAAATTGAAAGGACGATAAGCAGAGTTTCGTTGAATTTTAACGTTACCCTCGATGCGAAGATTACTTGTCTCTGCAATTTCAAAGGGAATCAAAGATACTTGATTTTAGTTTTGAATTTAATTTTAGTGAACACACATCACAAGATCGCATCGCTGCAGGAGAATTGCAATAGCAATAAATAGTCGAAGCTGTAATGTTGACTTTTACACGCGGGGAATGTTTTTAACAATTAACAAGGAATTCCCAGTATCGGAAGATAAAATATCGTTGTCCGTGGAGAACTTTGATCTTCGTGGTCATTAGATTGTAATGACAAAATCCGCAATCACTTAGTTGCCAACAGTACAGTCGTATAATACTAGGTTGCCCGAAAATTTCTTTCATTTCATAAGGTGATAATAGATGGACAGTTTGTCTTTTATATTATTTTATTGTATCAGGTACGATCCACTCATGTTCCTGCATAATTCAATAAACTAATATAGAACAAAAAACATTGTGCGTCTATTATTTCGTTTTTTTTACTTTTAAGCTCTTTTATGATTTTACTTTCAAGCTCACAAGTCACGCACTCGCGTCTGGCACGTTGTTTTACAGCTGTGCGAGAAGCTCAGAATTGAACGTTATTTTATTATTATACGTAATCGAGCTACCTTAAACGAGATGTCTTTAGCGAGAATCGAATTCTGTTTCATTCGTTTGTGAAGGTTTGAACGCTGTTGCGCAGATAACGTCGCTAACTTTGTTAATTACCGAGCTTCCTCAGCTTATTTTTATCTAGAATTGATAATCACAGGTTAATAGAAGAAAAAGTGACCACAGGTCACATTCTATTTATTATAGGAATGCAATTTCAGGGTTCAATATGTCAATAATGTCAATGAGTCTGTAATATTCGCGTTTGTTACGTTATCACAAAGTTATGATACTACAAAGTATAGATTGTTTGAAAATACAGCTAGTTAGATAATTACATTGACCCAGCAAATCAGAGAATCAACAAAGATGTACTTGCAATGTTTCTCTGCAGTCAGAGACATCGTCGTTTTTTTATTAAAAACGATTATTTAATACATCAAGGTTTTTTTTATTTAATTCGTACTCTACAATTTGTCCAGCTGGACACTTGGTAAATGTTTCTAATTTAATTGTTAAATAGCACGTGGATAGCTACCCCCAATGGGATACCATCTTCAAGTTTGTCTATTTTAAGCAGTCAAAATTTGTCCTTTTTCTTCTATTATTTAATTTGTACTCTACAATTTGTCCAGCCGGACATTTGGTAAATGTTTCTAATTTAATTGTTAAATAGCATGTGGATGGCTACGCCCACCGGGATACCATCTTCGAGTTTCACCATTTTATTTCTTTACTGAGGTGTTTTCAAATACACGAAGGTGATTAGAAAAGTGGAAACGAAGCATTCGACCTATTTCCAAGAATTATTCGATCCTCTTATGTAACACCAGTTATAAATGAAATTCCACTTGTTCGATGGATGTAGTATCTGAGACCTGATATCCGTGTAATAGATTCCATATCCTTTTCAGTTCTGCTAATAAATCTACGGTAGATCTCATATTCTTCGGTATCAGTGGATCTGATATTCTTCTCCATTTAGGATTTCAACTTAATTGCAATTTCTATCGATAGAATGTTCAATATAAAATTACAGTCACTCGTAAGTCTTTGCCACGTTTCTTATTTCAAATCCGCCAACGTGAAAATGCATGTTCGCTCGTTTCAAATCTACCAAACGTTTTCCGGAAGACGTGGCGATGGCTGGTAGGTCTAAGAGTCGTAATCCAACTGTGCAGAACGAAAGACGAACGTCGATCACGCACGTGTTCCACTTGCTCAGTGGCAACCACCTCCTGGTTAACGTAAAATGACGCACGAAGGTCCTGCACAGATTGAACCAATTAAACGGCGATTTAATCGACGCTAAGTCGATTACATGGTGTTTCTGGGCAAAAGGTCTAGCAACGCGGTAAGAGGAAATGGCAGAGGAAGAGACGAGAAAACAGGAATTCACGGAGAAAATAGAGAGACAGCGAAACGTCTTCTGACCGCCATGTAACGAGCCGAAAGGGGATGCTCTTGGCCGCTGTCAAATTAATATGCTCGTCTGTCTGTTACTGCGATTCTGCAAGTTATTTTGTCCGCGTCACAGTGTACCAGGACCAAAGCAATTTTCAGAAATATTTGGAAACTTCGCGGATATTAAACGATTTTCTCTTCAAAGGACACGCTTGACTCGATGTACGCGAGCAGAATCTGTCGCAAAAATTCCTATCGTTCCGATGCACGGAACATTATTATTTGATTATCATTTTCGAACATAGTTTTTCCAATCAATAGGCAAAGACGACGACGTGTTTTTCAACATTTTTGTCGATAGTATCGCAACTACGTTTGTGAGTAATTGTTTTACGACAGTCATAAAGCATCTTGAGAAATCGGCACGATAATCGCGTGTAGAGACGACGAGGTGTAGAAATTGACAAAGTATGCTGAAGTTTATCAATTTGGTGTGTGAGAAGTGCAATTACGTTAATCGTGTGTACCATCGACGAAAATTTGATTAGGAACGTAGCAGGGTCGATTGTTCGATGTTTCGATGTACACGTTGATGGAATAGTCTCATAGAAAGAAGACTCAAAAGAGAACACTTCATTGACTTCAGTAAAGAAAGAAAATAGTCAAACTCGAAGATAGTGTCCCCCTGGGGTTAGCCATCCACGTGTTATTTAGCAATTAAGTTAGAAACATTTACCAAATGTCCAGCTGCACAAATTGTAAAGTATAAATTAAATAATAGTAATAAAAGAAAGAAAACTTTGACTGCTTAAAATAGACAAACTCGAAGATAGTATCCCAGTGGGATTGGCCATCCACATGTTATTTAGCAATTAAGTTAGAAAAATTTACCGAACATCCAGCTGCACATTTTGTAGAGTAAATTAAATAATTAAAAAACAAGAACGAAATAAATATTGATTGGCAACTAAGTGATTGCGGATTTTGTCAAGACTACCTAATGACAAAATCGTCGTTGGATAGTCGTTGTTGCACTTAACAGACCAAGGCCTGCTCTGTTAATTAGTTGCATAAAAATAGGAATTTACATAAACGTGCAAACGAGTTAACTTGCATATTATCGCATACACACTGGCATTGAATAAAATCGAATACTTGAAGCAGTCATTGAAGCAGTTTCACTTTAAATTGTGATCATGTGTTAACCTGTTACTGTTGGCTTGGCAACTAAGTGATTGCGGATTTTGTCATTAGGTGGTATCGACAAAATGCGCAATCACTTAGTTGCCAAGCCAATATCACGAAATAAAGTTAATGTTAAATTACAAAAATTAAAAGAATTACAATCGTCAGCCCAAAATTCTCTAATTTCTGGAATGTGTCTGTCTCCACTGTTTATCCATTTTTCGTAACTTTTGCGTTACGTATCGACGTATTCTTGGTGGCGTGTGATAGTTTCAATGTTAACGTCGTGAAACGCGTACTGTACACGTGTTATCTGAGGTCGATTGTTTAATAGAGAAATTACAGCGGAATGAAATTATTTCGTAATTACATTACGAAACTGCATGTTTGTAGAATTTACGCGGTAGGAACAAGGCGATGTTTAACATCGAAATGAAGCTAACTTGCCGGGTTCAATTAAAATTGTAAAATTCCTGGGATTTTTACTTCTTGTAGTTTCTGTTTATAGGAAATTACGTTATTTATTAAACATAAACTACGAAATAAGCTGCACCTGCTACGTTTTTACCAAGTGCTTTCGCGAACCAATTAATCGGATCGTGTTTCAGTATTTGCGGAAAATTCCCAATTAAAACTCTAGTCAACATTGAGATGCTATAACTTACCTGTGCTAACAATATTTGCTAGCAATATTCTTTCTCCACTTGCTCCCCATACGAATTACAATTGACCGATATAACATGGAAAATTTCAAAATTTCACTCTGTATGTCATAATTAAATTTGCATAGAAATTTCTGAAACCTTGTTTTAAACATTAACCTCGGATACTTCAATTTGAAGGAGAATATGGTTGCAGAATGTTATTCAGGAATTAACCCGATACTGGAAACTCTACGTCACATCTAATTTCATTGTCAACTGAAAGAGAAAGTATATATTTCTCGTACAAAAAAAATAATTTATTATAATTATAATTTAATTATTTATTAATATTATTATTAATTATTACTAATTATTATTAGTAATATACTATTATTAATTAGACACATCCGAATAATTGCTGCCATTGCCGTATCTTTCAATATTTCTCCGTGAAAATTTTATACAATATCCTTGGAATGTCACACTTTAATGTACTATTGGTTTTAATAAAGAGATTTTAACTGTGTCGTCACAAATAATTCACAAAAACATGCCTTATTTTGTACGAATTAACCTTAAATAACATGTGGATGGCTAATCCCACCGTGATACCATCTTCGAGTTTGAGTATTTATTTCTTTGCTCGCTTCAGCAGTTAGCTGATTTGCATGTGTTGTCCTTCTTTCCTTGTACTGTCGACCATTGTGGAAGCAATTAACGAAGCTTGCAAATGATTCATTAAAACTAAATACCTACATGTTATCGAGATGTTTTTTGTGATTTTATTGTACGATTTATAAATACTAATAAACTTGTTCGTATTATCCGAGTTTCCGATTATCCGATAGCAGACCTGGTGCAGGTCAGAGCGGATAATCGAGGTTCTACCGTAGCTACGTGAATCTTTGGGTATCTCGTTCGCCAGGACGACAGTTCATTAGAAGCCGCGTCCAATTATTATTTATTAGCTTCGTTATGCAGCTCGTAATTATCAACTTTACACGCATGCTCGTGCATCTAATATTTACAGGGAATTTCATTTAATTTTGAGAACAGAAACAGCGATAGAAACAGCGTTCGTAAAGAAATCGATCGACCGATGAAGATCAAGTCGACGAATGTGGTCGTATCACGCGTTAGTTTCAGTCACCTTAGTCCGGCGGCGTTCGTTTCGCGCGGCTGTTCGCTTGCGCGTCTTTGCAGGAATTTTGGCGATTTCTTATCGTCGTAGCTAATTTTTCTGTTCCTTAGACATCTTCTTACTCCACAGCTTTTAACATGGAATTTCTCTATCGAAGAAGATTTTTGGAGAAAGTCCAACTTATATATTTTTTAACTAAACGCTTAAATTATTATGAAATTCTTACTTATCTCGTTAATGTAGAAAGAACAAGATTGTTTGAGAGCCACTGTATCCTATTGTCAATTCAGAACTAAAACTTGCAATGTATGTAATTTATACAGTTGACCATTTTCTCTCCAGACAACCGTTAATAACAGCAACATAATTACCATTATATTTTTGCAAAGATCAACCAGACCAGATGTTGAAGAGCAACTTTATTTAAGAAACGTATACGTGCTGTTTAATTGGACGATGACCTGTTAAAGTACACGTAATATTAATCAACGAAATGAAGCTCAATGTTACAATGTCGGTACTGTAACGCAATTCCACGTGCTCGATCGATAACCTGTGATTATTCCGACTGCTGGTCCCCGTTAACGAGGTCAAAGCGCAGTTATTTCTAGTTAGGATAGTTAGAACCATTCTGAGTTCGCGAGTCGACGATTAAATAACAATTAAGCACCATGTCTTTTCGCATTTATTATTCTCGCTATTTCCGTCTCAATTATACCTACCCTGATTAATAAATAATTACAATTAATGTACAGTGTGTAATACAAATATGTATCGTTCAATTCGATTATAGTTGCTCAGGTCTCGCGAATATCCCCGAGAAGCTTCCCTACCTTGTCGGGCTAAACGTACTTCTCAATCTCTCAATTAATTAATTTAATTTCTAATTTTAGTTTCTTCTTTGTTAGCTTCTTCTGCTCTCGGAAACAACGAAACGCGCTAATATCTGTGGAAACGAGTGTGAGCGAGCGTGGCTCGTCCGGATATTACGTCTCGATCTGGCGTCCGATTTTCCGATTTTCCCACCGATAATCAGTGTATTAGGATAATTAAAGGATCCGCAGTCGGTTCTTCCTCGCTGATACGCCGCGACGATCTCCAGCCACGAGTTGCCGGGCTCATTAATGTTGCGCGTATCGGCCAGGAAGAGAAAGGACGGAACGACGAAAGTGGGTCACGTTTAGACATCGCCACCGCGGAAATTCATATGGTTACTATACTAATTCCTCTACACTACGCGGAATTATCATACGGCTCTACGTATCGTTTAGCTATGGCTACGGATAGTGTCACGTGGGAGACACAAGAAATCACGAAATTGACAGATCATCTTGTCGCGTAAAATTCGTGATGAGGAAATAAAATAAAAATGAAAGGAAGAGCTGAGCTATAGCTCAACTTGACTGTCCTTTTATACAGGGTGGTTGGTAACTGGTGGTACAAGCGGAAAGGGAGTGATTCTACGCGAAAAAGGAAGTCGAAAATATAGCAATCACCTGCTGGCAGTTATATTAAAAAAAGTATCGTTAGCATTGCAAGAAGATAACAGAACCACGTTATTTCCTCTTTTTTTTTATCGAATAATGTAACGCCACATATCCATGCGAAAGTAATGCGTTGACTGCAAGGTTAGTCAAATCATCAACTAATTACGTTATACTACGTAATATATTTTATTCGATATACTATACAATATGCTGCAATATATACCACGGTAGATTATACAAATTTCTAAGAAATACTAACATATGTGTATTAATGAAGATAATATGATGTACAACTATTTACACACACGTTATACGTACACATATCCATTTATCAGATATACTATACTACAACATATACTACGATAGATTATAAACATTTCCAAGGAATACTAACATATCCGTATTAATGAAGATAATATAATGTACAACTATTTGTACACACGTTATACGTACACATATCCATTTATCAGATATACTATACTACGACATATACTGCGATAGATTATAAACATTTCCAAGGAATACTAACATATCCGTATTAATGAAGATAATATGATGTACAACTATTTACACACACGTTATACGTACACATGTCCATTTATCAAATATACTGTACTACGACGTATACTACGATAGATTATAAACATTTCCAAGGAATACTAACATATCCGTATTAATGAAGATAATATAATGTACAACTATTTGTACACACGTTATACGTACACATATCCATTTATCAGATATACTGTACTACGACATATACTACGATAGATTATAAACATTTCCAAGGAATACTAACATATCCGTATTAATGAAGATAATATAATGTACAACTATTTGTACACACGTTATACGTACACATATCCATTTATCAGATATACTGTACTACGACATATACTACGATAGATTATAAACATTTCCAAAGAATACTAACATATCCGTATTAATGAAGATAATATAATGTACAACTATTTGTACACACGTTATACGTACACATATCCATTTATCAGATATACTGTACTACGACATATACTACGATAGATTATAAACATTTCCAAAGAATACTAACATATCCGTATTAATGAAGATAATATAATGTACAACTATTTGTACACACGTTATACGTACACATATCCATTTATCAGATATACTGTACTACGACATATACTACGATAGATTATAAACATTTCCAAGGAATACTAACATATCCGTATTAATGAAGATAATATGATGTACAACTATTTACACACACGTTATACGTACACATATCCATTTATCAGATATACTATACTACGACATATACTGCGATAGATTATAAACATTTCCAAGGAATACTAACATATCCGTATTAATGAAGATAATATGACGTACAACTATTTACACACACGTTATACGTACACATATCCATTTATCAGATATACTATACTACGACATATACTGCGATAGATTATAAACATTTCCAAGGAATACTAACATATCCGTATTAATGAAGATAATATGACGTACAACTATTTACACACACGTTATACGTACACATATCCATTTATCAGATATACTATACTACGACATATACTGCGATAGATTATAAACATTTCCAAGGAATACTAACATATCCGTATTAATGAAGATAATATGACGTACAACTATTTACACACACGTTATACGTACACATATCCATTTATCAGATATACTATACTACGACATATACTGCGATAGATTATAAACATTTCCAAGGAATACTAACATATCCGTATTAATGAAGATAATATGACGTACAACTATTTACACACACGTTATACGTACACATATCCATTTATCAGATAGTTAGATAAATTATTTATTAACTTAAACAAATATATGCTTGCCGACGTAACTTCATAACTGAATAACATAAATGAATAACAAAGAGATTTCTGTTATACGCGCAAGCTTGTCGATGATATTATCTTAATAATAGCTGGCAATGAAATTTTCGATCAGCCGTGACACGCAAGTAATCCGTAAAAAGGGATGTTAAAATTGAAAACACGGCTTAATATTCAATTATATAATCCCTGTTAATGACAGTTCACGCGATAACGATAATCATCGTCGATGGAACCGCGATACGATCATTCAAACGTTTCAGCGAATACTCGTAGGTGCATGTTTGATCAAACGACCAGCCGTAATCCTCGCTTCTCGCGACACGAAATCCTAATTCGCGGGAACGCCGCGAGAGGCGAGAAAAATTCCAAGAAAATCTGTCTCTCCGAGATTATTTTCCTTGTTGCGCTATCACGATCCGGATGGAATTTTAATAACCACTTCGTAGATTTCCCCGGTGAACCATTGGAAAGAGCGGCGTTCGCAAAAAAAAAAGGAAGAAGAAGGAAAAAGAAAAACAAGAAAAGAGGCAACCGTTCCCTATCGCTTATTTCCCGGTTCGCGCTGCGCCGCACTTCCATTTTGATATCAGCGCCGGAAAAACTGCGAATGAATATTCCACCGCTGTTCGCATCGGTGCTTTATGCTACAGACGTGTTTATTTTAATAACGCTTCACACTGTTCACCTAAACGTTCCGTTCTTCTATTTCTTTTTTTTTTTCAAGACACTCTTGCGAATTGTCTGGCCGCGTCAGTGATTTATAGTCCAAACGAAGCCAGTTGCTCGTTAAAAAATAACACCGAAGATCAATCTCTGTAACGAAACATTCGCTTCTTTTTGTAAGTAGTATCTTTTGCTGAGAAAATAGTATCGGTTTTGTGAACGCAACAGTGAATCTATTGACCAGCTTATTGCTGTCTTATTTAGTCACGCGCACGCGACCATCCTTTTTTGTCATCCAAATATCTAAACACATCTTGAGTTCCGATTATCCGCCACATTTGCCCCGACTTTTTTTTAGCAACCGTCGCGTATCGTATTTCACACAGATAAGGAAACCGCGAGCACACGCAGCGACATCGATACCGAACAGTTGAAAAAAGAAACTCGAGTCGATCCTCGAGTAACAGCAACATTAAAGGCGATTAGTTTCTACGAATTCTTTGCAGACTAACTAGTAGCTATGGGAGCTGCTATATAGCTATACTATAGCTACTATGGGAGTAGATCTTTATGGGGTGTAAATATAGTTTTGGAGTAGGAATTTTTTTTTTTTTATTATTTAATTTATACTTTACAATTTGTCCAGCTGGACATGTGGTAAATTTGAAATAGAAATGTGTTCTATATATAGAAACTATTTGTTGCATCTTGAGAAGGTGTAGTGTCATAGAACCAGCAGTTAGTCTAAAAGAGATTCATAAAAATCAGTTGCTTCTATTGTCGTTACACGAGAATTTCTCATTAATAGATTGCATTGTTATATTATCTAACAAATACTGACAATTTGTTATTAGTATTTCAACTTGGCTAAGTGCAGCCGACCGTAAGATAGCGTTAGAAGTTTATGTCGCGTTAACAATTGTGTGGAGATTTTGAAACTGTGGAATAATTGTCCTGGCAGATGTACATGTAGAATTAATATTTATAATTTCACGGTCATTAAATCAGAGAATTTCGCATAAACGAAGCCCCTTACGGAAAGGGGGAAAAGGGAGAATTTATTCCACTGCAACGTTTCATTCGAGAATCAGAAAATCATCCCATCGACGATTGCTTTATGAATTATTGAATCATGTTGTATTTCTTTGACGAACAACGCTCGATGCACGAAACGCGTAGTCTATACGGTTAAGTGGAGCACATTTGCCCGACTCCTTGTAAATTGAAATTGGCCGGGAATCGAGAGTTTATTTGACTTTATCGAATGAAACATCAGCGTTCGTTTCCCTCTATTGAAAATTGCATTGGATTTTCTGTAAAAGAATTTTACCAATTCCCTTTGAGCTTCCTTGTTTATTCCAATCATGAAAATATTAAAAGCAGGCGCGGAGTGCATATTGAAATCGACGCAGATTTCGTGCTCTGAAATATTCGAAAACAAGGTATCGGCGTTTTCGAATCGCCGGGAAATCGATGCAGCGAGAATTATTATCTTCCTGGCTATTCCTAGCTGATAATTAGCATTTTAAATCAAAGGTGGCCGCTGTTAATCCGCAACAAATCTTTAGAAATATTTTTTAAACAGCCGCGTTATAAAGTCGACAAGAAATAAACGTTCTACTCACAGTGGCTACGAAACGTATTGGCACTTTTGTTATACAAAACGAAGCGTTTCTTCTTGTTAGCAGCAAACTTTGTAGTCATATGAAAGTATTGCCAAATAACACGAAAGTTAATAAACCTAATTAATTGTTTAACGCCAGGATAAATTTTTTATTATTTTTTTTATTATTAATTTGTACTTTACAATTCGTCCAGCTGGACATTTGGCAAAGGTGCAATGGTGTGCGAACACTTTTTGTAGCCACTGTATACACGATGAAAGCTATCACGGTGCAATTTGAACAAATTTCCACTCGTGAGAAATCCATTTACATCGCACAGTGTCCTGGACAACTGTAGAAACATTTTTGTGATCATTTCGATTCGTCTTGAAATGTTCCACTGCTCACAGATATAGTAAATCCTGGTGCGTTCATTGTTCGGAGAAAAGAGAGGAGAGAAATGGGAAAGAAGACAAAAGAGGAAGAAGAAGAAGAAGAGAAAGAGAGATGGAAACGTGGGAAGAGGGGAAAAATGGAAGGAAAAAGAAGATAAGACAGTGGAATAAGGAGAAGCAGAAATGATGTAATGGGTGAAAGAAACGAAAGGAGTCAGAGAAATGGAGAGAAATCGAAAGAGAAGTGAAGGGAGGCAAAGAAGAATGGACAGAGGAGATGAGAAAAT